CGCTGGACAGAGTATATGGAGTAACCCGGTGTAGGGACTACAGTGGCACAAGTTGGTGGGGCCTGGTGATCCTTAATCTTACTTTCTTGTTAAATTGACGTAGTAGACCTCAGTTAGGCTATGATTCTCATCAATTATCTGGAAGGCTGTTGCTTGTCCGCTTTTTACTTGTCTACTGTCGCTGCTCACATTAACCCCTCTTTCTGCACAACAAGGATCATGATGCTTTAGTGAGCCAAATCTACCGCCCGATCTCAACTAGTTCGACAGCTAGCCTCTCTGCCAGCTACTTGGATGACAAAGTTCTCACCTTCCTAAAACTAGGCACCTACTTTGGCCCAACTGGCACTTGGTTTAAAGATCATAAAACGTATTCGCCTTTCTTGGGTCCAGTTAGCTAGCTGTTATCCCACTTTGGATATTTCAAATGACGCCGCTGTGTCTTATGCCTCCCGATACTCGCCACACGCTGCTGCTTTCATTCTGTTTCTTTCTCGTTGCCCCCTTCTTAAGCTTCAAACCTCGATCGCAGTTGTCCAAACGCACCGAAGAATTGTTATTCAGTTAAACTGGCATGTCCCCGGTCTACACTCACACGGTCCTTCAACGAAAGGGAAATTGTTTATGAGCCTGCATCCGCCTGACTCTCTGTGTCCATCTCCTTCTCACCCAGAAACAGCTGTCGCGGGACTGTGTTGCCCTTCTCCGATGGTGGCACCCTTGCCGACCGTTACGGGGCTGTACATAAACCGAAGCATGTCAGTGCAATGATGGCATGGCACTGTCATGGTCAGTGAGATGGCATTTCCGTAGCTATTTTTTCAGAATCTCGACCGTTACCTCCAACCCGCTCAAGCATGTAGTCACGGCTTCGAGAAAAATTTTTCATGTGACCCTGTCTTTGGGACGAGCTTTTTCGTACACGATGAATTTTAGCTCCAATATGGCTAGCCTGGCTTTTCTGCTACAATTTCGGCCTGCCTCCTCCATAAATTCGAATCCGTATATGATGTTCGGTTCACCACATATATTAGCACCTTGCTCCCATCCAACCTATACCCTGCAACTGACTTCCCTACAATAGCGAAACCAGTGAGTCTGCTCAGTTTTAGATTTTTTGAGACAAAATTCTTCATGTGGTCTCAATTCGAATTATTCCATCTCCATCTCCACTTTTGCTCATTGTGACTCCAGCCATTTACATAACCGCTCAAGGTCACTCATGGCCAGCGATGAGTTCCATCTTTAGTTCATGTCAGCCGGCTGAGTCCTTGAATTATTCGGACCTTATGCCCATTGTTCCCAACAAGTTGGGAAAGAAACTCATTATTATTTCATCGGGTATTCCGCGCTGTTTATGACATGGTTCTCTTTTTGTGCAATCCACATCCCCACAAGCCCCCAAGTCGTGCTTCATTCTGACTGTAAACACCTAATCATGCGAGACGGTTTGCCCCCACAAGTCGGGAATTGACATTATTATTATTAAAAAAGAAAACAACTATGCCGTTAACACTGCATATTTAGTTCAAGCAGGCATTAAATCCTTTTCTAGCTTAAAGCGACTCAAGAGGATAGGAAGAAATGATAACAGGATCCTCTAGTTGCCCACTAACTGTAACGTCGCTAAAGCCAAATGCGCACTTGACCCAATTCGTAGAGGAAGTCAGAGGGTAGCGGACTATTAAGTAAGGCGACAGCAGTTTCACAGGTAAGGAATTTGTTCACGGACTGAGTAGAAGATAATGATGCGTGATGCTTTGCAGCTGCTCAGTAAGGCTGTTCCAGGTGCGAGCGTAATAAACTAGATAGTAGTTGCATAGGTTTTTACGAGCTCGGGGACACACTACAAAGGTGTAGGAGTTACGGAGTCTGTAGCGGGGCTGTGAGTTGTTTATTTGGTCTAGCCCCTGCTATAAAGGCGTTTTTATGCAGCAGACGGCGTAAGAGAGTCAGATCCACTTTTAACCGTCTGAGCCATAGTGGTTTGAGGCCAATGAGTGGACAGAAGTAGCGGTAAGAGAGGGGGTTAGACCGAGGGAAGAGCTTTTTGTAAATGAGCGTTGAACAATTTCAGTCGCGAGGTTAAAAATTGCAACCGAGGGCGAAAGGAGAGTAGTATTAAAAAACAGAGCCTGCGTGTTCTGACAACCCGAAACTGCACCTAGGGGGGAAGATAAATGTACAGGAGTGTCTGAGTCCGAGATCTTTGAGCTCAGTGGAATGAGTGATAGGATTTCCATTATTTGTGAAAGCGTCAGCCGGGAGAGAGCAGCGGCAGGAAGTTATGCAGGACTTTGTGGAGGAGAAGCTTAGACCAGAGTCAATTGCCCAGCGAGTCAGTGAATCTAAGTCTCGCTTAATCTGGTGAAAGGCAAGGGCATGTGGAGAGGGGAAGAATGTGTACGCGATTTTTATATCGTCCGCGAAGAGGGAAGCCTTACCATGGGATATGGCGCCGAAGACGTCGTTGATGTACAGTGAGAAAAGAATGTGGCCTAGCACGCTTCCTTGGATGACTCCGCTAGTGATCGGTAGTGAAGATGATTGTATGTCCCTGATTTGCGTTATTTGCCTCCTGTATGATGGGTAGGAGGCGAACCACTGAAATAAGTTACCATTATATCCACGGTACTAAGTTTATGTAGCAGGGATGCGTGGGGGACCTGGTCGAAGGCTTTTTGAATGTCCAGATAGACTGTTACAATGGAGTATCCAGCGTCGTAGGCTGCTGTGACGGTCTCAAAGAAGTGAAGCTGCCAGCCAGTAACGGATCGCTGAAATAGGAATCCATACTATCGGTCAGCTATGGCGTTTGTGGCTAGGAGAAACTTGATTAACGGGTGTTTGACCAAAAGTTCAAGGATTAGCATTAAAAGAGGTGTATGGTGGATCCCTCTGTAATTGGAAATAGTTTGCCTGGGTCCGGACTTGAAATGAGGGCAAACAACAGATTGTTCTCACCGGGAATGTTGTTTGCCTCCCGTCTCATAAGTAGGAGGCGAACCACTGAACTAAGGTTCCAGTGATTCCAAAGGTTCTAAGTTTTTTGTAGCGGGGGCGTACGAGGGACGTGGTTATGTGCTTTTTGGATGTCCAGATAGACCGTTACAATGAAGTGTCCAGAGTCGTAGGCTGCTGTGACGGTCTCAAAGAAGTGAAGCTGCCAGCCAGTAACGGATCGCTGAAATAGGAATCCATACTATCGGTCAGCTATGGCGTTTGTGGCTAGGAGAAACTTGATTAACGGGTGTTTGACCAAAAGTTCAAGGATTAGCATTAAAAGAGGTGTATGGTGGATCCCTCTGTAATTGGAAATAGTTTGCCTGGGTCCGGATTTGAAATGAGGGCAAACAACAGATTGTTCTCACCGGGAGAGGCCAATTCCAGAGTTGATTGAGTGACGAAAAGGACTTAACACAAGGGTTCTGGCATCTTGAACCCCATGTCTTGGGGGACGTGATGGTATGCTCTTGCCTTCCGGCACGGAGGAGTCCTTGAGGGTTTGGAGAGGGACTGATACGTAAGAAAGGTAGATGGTCGCGTTGCTAAAAGACCGGCGGTTACTGTCTGTGGAAATGTGAAGTGTGCGGCAGAGATTGTGAGAATGACCTTTGCAGGAAGAGGTAAGTGGCAGCTGGCAAAGTATGCGTTCAAGTGTTTGGCTATATTGACAGGATGAATGATAAAACTAATGTCAGGGGAGCGCAGGTATGTGACTTGGTGACAGTTTGGGAACAGCGCCCACGAACTGAACGGCCGAGTTATAGAATCGAGGGACGGAGGCGGTGGTAGGTAGATACAACCTACTAGTACAAGTCGTTTGGTCTGTTTCAGGGAAATCCAGAAAGCCTCTGGAATGCACTTTAGGATGCAATATCAATGGGAGTTGCACGAATTTCCCATTTGGAGTAGATGGCAGAGCCTCTTCCCTTTGGGTTCCTCCTGTCAGAGCGGTGAATATTATAACCAGAGATTGTGACTGCTGTGTCTGAAGTTTCAACTGAGAGCCATGTTTTGGTCATACAAATCAGATTTGGTTGTGCCATAGCAATGATCGCACAGGAGTGTGGAATTTCGGCAGCAATGAGTGGGCGTTAAACAGCATCGTTTATAGGTCCATTGGAGAGCACATCATACTAATTAGTAATTTAATCACGTCGTTTACGGTAGATTTCCATACTAGGGGGAAGTGGGTAGGGGAGGTAAGGGTACATGAAGTAATAACAATAATAATAATATTTATTCCCAACTTGTGGGTGGCACACCGTTTGGCGTGATCATAGTTTTACGGCCAGAATGGAGCATGACTGAGGGATTTGTGGGTGTGCGGATTGCACAAAAAGAGAACAATGTCACAAACAGTGGGGAATACCCGATGGTATGGCAATAATAGGTTATTTCCCAACTTTTTGGGAAAAATGGGCATGAGGTTCGACCAGATCAAAGGCAGTCAGGTGGCATGATCTAAAACTGAGAACCATTTCTGGCCATGAGTGACCCGAGATGGTCAGGCAAACGGCCGGAGTCACAACGAGCAAAAGTGGAGATGGAGATAGGATTATTCAAACTGGGAGTACATGACAAGTTTTGTCCCAAAAATGTGGTTTAATCTGAAAGCAAGCAGACTCACTGGCTGCACTGTTGTGGGGATGTCAGATGCAGGCGAATAGGTTGGATGGGGACAAGTCGCTAATCTATAGGTCGACCCGAACTCCGTATAGGGATTTGAACTTGTGCAACAGGCAAGTCGAAATTGCAGCAAGAAAGCCAGGTTAGCCAAATCTGAGCGAAAATTTATTGGGTAAGGGAGAGCTCATCCCAGAGACGTGGCCGGATGGGAACTGCTCGAAGTTGTGGCTACAGGCTTGAGTGGGCGAAGGGTTGCGGTCGAGCTTCCGGTGAAAATAGTTGTGGGAGTGCCATCTCACTGAGTATGACAGTGCCATGCCATCATCACACTGACATGCTTCGGTTTATGGACAACTCCGTAATGGTCGTCAAGGGTCTGAGAAGGGATACGTAGTTCCGTGATGAGACGGAGATTGACACAGGGAGTCATGCAGGTGTAGGCTCACGGATAATTTCCCTTTCATTGAAGGACCGTGTGAGTATAGACCGGGCACCAGCCAGTTTGAATGAATAACAGCTCTAATGGGCGTTTGGGCAACTGCGGACGAGGGTTGAAGCTTGGGAAGAGGGGCGAAAGGAGATATAGAATGACTGTCAGCAGTGACAGTGGACAAGTGAAAAACGGACAGGCGACAGCTTCCCAGATAGGTGGTAGGAATCGTAGCTTAACTGAGTTCTACTACATCAACCTAACAAGAAAGTAAGACTAAGGATCACCAATCGCCGAGTCTTTGCTGTCAACTCCAGAAAACGAATGGTGCATGGCAAAAAAGCCATCAAGTGCTAGCTGTGACTGCTTGGAATCAACCTATTGGACTATTCGTTCAAATTCAATCACCTCTGTCCCCATCCAACCTAGCCCCTACACCTGACTTCCCAGCAACAGGGCAACCAGTGAGTCTGCTTGTTCGCAGATTGCACCATATTTTTGAGACTAAACTTGCCGTGTTCTCCCAATTCGAATTATCCCATCTCCACCTTCACTTCTGCTTGTTATGAATCCGGCCATTTACCCAACCGCTCAAGGTCACTCATGGCCAGCAACGGTTTT